AGGGCTGACCTTCAGAGGCCTCCTACCCGGGGAGCTCGGCCGCGAGGCTGTGCCAACGGTGAGGCAGGGGCCAGGGCTGCCTTCCTCGGGAGATGGGGAGGCCCAGCGTGGAGGGGTGGGGAAAACTCATGCGACTTGGGGCCCAGCCCTGCGTCCATGCTTTGTCCCTCTGTCCTTCCGCCACCCCGCAGCCCTGGTAGAGGGACACTGCTGCTGTCAGCGGCAGACCGGGCAGCTGGAGCACCCTACCCAACCTGGGGGCCGGCTCACTGCCCACTTCCCAGATGGGAAAGCGAGGCCCAGAGAGGGTGATTCACTCACCCGGGAGTAACAGAGTGAAGGCTGGTGTCCTCTACCCATGGACACTGCCAGTGGACAGCTGACCAGGGACGGCGTCGGGGAGGGGTGAGCCAGATCGTGCGCTGAGCTGCAGTGGCACTGACACTTCCCTGCCCCAGGCTCTCGGCCCCGCGACTGCCTGGACGTCCTCCTGAGCGGACAGCAAGACGACGGCGTTTACTCCATCTTCCCCACCCACTACCCCGCCGGCTTCCGGGTCTACTGTGACATGCGCACCGATGGCGGTGGCTGGACGGTGAGTCTCCTGGGCCGGGCGACCCGGTGTTCTGAGCGGCTGCTTACCCGCCTCCCCCGCAGGCCCGCCCCTTACCCAGGAGCCTGGACAGGCAGGGGGCGTTGGCGAGCCGGTCCTCCTGGGAGCACATGTCAGATGGGCTCCCCCTGTGCTCCTGGGGCTCTGAGTCCCCAGAGCCACTGTTGTCACCCCGTTGCTGACGTGAGATCAAGGGTGGGCCTGTGGGGGCACCGCCTTTGAGTGGTCCTGTGTGTGCAGGAGGGAGGGGGGCAAGTGGCTGCTGGAAGCAGAGCCCCTCCTGGGAGGAGCTGCCAGCTCCTGCCTGGGTGGGGAACTGAGCAAGGAGGCCTCCCAACTGGGAGGAAATAGGCAGTGTGGGGGAGAGTCCTGGTTTGGGACTTCAGATCGGCCGGCCTGGACGTCCTTCCTGGAGCCCGGGCAGGCACCGAGGCTGCAAAGGGCAGATGGCAACAGTTCAGGCCAGGGGTCCACGCAGCTCTGCCCGACTCAGCTCCACCTTGGAGGGAGACCAGCCAGACAGCGAGAAGGCGGGGGCCTGGCTCCGTTCCAGTAACACTTGCCGACGCCGAAATGTGAATTTCACCGAAGTTTTATGTGTTCTTTCTTAAATATTATTCAAAGGATATTTAAATTTTTCTCTTTTGATTTTTCTTTACCATTGAAAGAGTTCATGCCGTTCTTAGCTCGCAGGCTGCACACACAGGCGGGCAGGCGTGTCCTCGGCTGGTGTTTGCCGTCCACATTCTGGAGCTGGGATTCTGGCAGCGGGCGGCGAGCTTGCTGCCCCCGCCCCCCACTGGGTGGGCTCTGACTCC